AGATTGGCCCAAGACGGCTCCAGAGACTTCCAAGACGGCCCAAGAAGCCTCCCAAAAGGCCTCCTAAGAGGGTCCCGAGTGGCAGAAATCGTGGATTTCCATTGTGTTTTTCGATGTTTTTGGCCTTCTCGCCTTTTCGGCTTCCCGAGGCTCCAAGACGGCCCCAGAGGTCCCCAAGACCGCTCCAAGACAGCCGAAGAGGCCCCCAGGAGAGCCCCAAGACGGGCCAAGAGGGCCCCAAGACGGGCCCCAGCAGGCCCCGGCACGCTCCGAGACGCTCCAAGACGAGCCAAAGAAGGCCCCAAGAGACCTTCAAGATGGCCCCAGAGGACCCCGGCACGCCCAAAAATGAGCCCAAGACGCTCAAGATTGGCCCAAGACGGCTCCAGAGGTCTCCAAGGCGCCCCAAGAGGCTTCCCAAGAGGCCTCCCAACAGGGCCCCGAGTGGCAAAAATCTATGATTTCCATTGTGTTTTTCTATGTTTTCAGCCTTCTCGCCTTTTCGGCTTCCCGACGCTCCAAGACGGTCCCAGAGGTCCCCCAGACCGCTCCAAGACAGCCGAAGAGGGCCCCAAGAGAGCCCCAAGACGGGCCAAGAGGGCCCCAAGACGGGCCCCAGCAGGCCCCGGCGCGCTCCGAGACGCTCCAAGACGCGCCAAGGAAGGCCTCAAGAGACCTTCAAGATGGCCCCAGAGGGCCCCGGCACGCCCAAAAATGAGCCCAAGACGCTCAAGATTGGCCCAAGACGGCTCCGGAGGTCTCCAAGATGCCCCAAGAGAGGGTCCCGAGTGGCAAAAATCGATCATTTCCATTCTGTTTTTCGATGTGTTCGGCCTCCTCGCCTTTTCGGCTTCCCGACGCTCCAAGACGGTCCCAGAGGTCCCCCAGACAGCTCCAAGACGGCCGAAGAGGGCCCCAAGAGAGCCCGAAGACGGGCCAAGAGGGCCCCAAGACGGCCCCACGACTCCCCAAGACGGCCCCAGCACGGCCCAGGAGGCGCCCAAGACGGCTCCAGAGGCACCCAAGACGGCCCCAAGAGCGGCCCGAGACGGCCCAGGACAGCCCAAGAGGCGCCCAAGCCGGCCTCAGCTGGCCCCAAGACGGCCCAAGAGGCACCCAAGACGGCCCAAGAGGGCCCTAAGAGCCTCCCCGGGAGGCCCAGAAGACCCCAAGTGGCTCCGAAACGGCCCCCACGAGGCCCTAAGTGGTTTCAGAATTGCCTCCAGGAGGGTGGGAGCGGACGAGAGGCGACAGGCATTTCGCAGACACTATAGAGCCGTGCAGCATCAGCAGCACGCGTTGACAACGCAAGCGTCATTCACCATCATGCAGCATGCAGCAACATCCAGCACCAGGCAAAAAGCTAGCAGCAGCACCAAGCCGTAGCAAGCAGCAGCCCACACCAGTCAAACCGCAGGCGGCAGCAGAAGAACGACAAAGCAAACAGCAGCGAGTAGCAGCAGGCAGCACTCAGCACAACAAGCGGCGGCCATGAGGCCTCCGAGAGCGTTTCGAGAGGGTCCTCATGACAAGCGTCGTTGGCCAGGCGAACAAGGAGCCCAACGTCATCAGGTGCGCCTTCCAGCAGTACTCCCTCCACCCCGCAAGTGGACGGAGTCCACGGGTCAGCCCTAGTCTCTACTACATTGCAGGGCCCAGTGCGTGCCAGAAGGGCGCAGGCCCCAATGCACCAAAACCGCCCCGGGCTGGCCCCGGGCCGCCCCGGGCCGCCCAGGCAGGCTCCAGGACATGTCGAGAGGGCCCCCAGAAGCCCCCAAGACGGCCCCGGAGAGCCCCGGCACGCTTGAAGATGGGCCCAAGACGCCCGAGATTCGCCCCAGACGGCCCAAGAGGCGTCCAAGACGCCCGAAGAGGCCTCCCAAGAGGCCTCCCAAGAGGGCCCCGAGCGACAGAAATCGTCGATTTCTACTGTGTTTTCGATGTTTTCGGCCTCCTCGCCTCTTCGGCTTCCCGACGCTCCAAGACGGCCCAAGAAGTCCCCCCGACTGCTCCAAGACGGCCGAAGAGGACCCCAAGAGAGCCCCAAGACGGGCCAGGAGGGCCCCAAGACGGTCCCAAGACGCCCCAGGACGGCCCCAGGACGGCCCAGGAGGCGCCCAAGACGGCCCAATAGGCACCCAAGACGGCCCCAGGAGCGGCCCAAGACGGCCCAAGACAGCCCAAGAGGCGCCGAGGCGGACCTCAGACGGCCCCAAGACGGCCCAAGAGGCACCCAAGACGGCCCGAGAGGGCCCTAAGAGCCCCCCCGGGAGGCCCAAAAGAAGGCCGAAGAGGCTCCGAGACGGCCCCCACGAAGCCTTCAGTGGCTTCAGAATTCCTTCCAGGAGCGGGGGAGCGGACGAGAGGCGACAGGCACGCCGCGCTTGCCCAGAGACCCCTCGCCACGTCGAGCTGATGTCGTGGACGGAGTCCACAGGTCTGCCCTAGTCTCCTACAACGCTGGGATCAGCGCGTGCGAGAAGGGCGAGCAGTGGCAGCGGGCGCTGGCGCTGCTGAGCGAGATGTGGGAGGCGAAGCTGGGTTCGAATGTCATTTCTTTTCTATGGCGGACATCAGCGCGTGCCAGAAAGGCAAAACAGCGCATGTGCACCAATGCGCCCCCCGGGGGGCCATTTCCGACACCACTCACGAAGATCCTGGCCCCCGAGCGTCACAAATCGAGCCTTCCGCCCAAAGACGCGCCGAAGTGGCCCTAAGAGCTCCAAGGAGCGTCCAAGAGGCCCCCCTAGAAGCCTCCAGCAATGCCCAAGAGGCTTCCAAGAGCCTCCAACAGTCCTCCGAAGCATGCTCCCAGAGGCCAAAATCCGTAATTTGCCATGGTTTTTGAAGGAGTTGTGCCTTCTCGCCTTCTCGGCTAGCCGACGCTCTAAGACGGCCGAAGAGACCCACCTTCTCGCCTTCTCGGCTAGCCGACGCTCCAAGACGGCCGACGAGACCCACAAGACCGCCCCAGGACGGCCCAACAGGCCTCCAAGCGCGTCCCCAGACGGCCCAGGGAGCCCCAAGATGGCCCAAGAGGCACCCAAGCTGGCCCAAGAGGGGGCCAAAGAACGGGGAAAAACCCTAACACCCCGAGCCCTGGGCCCCCATACGCCCACACAAGGCCCCAAGACCCCCCCAAGAGGCCTCCAAGAGCATCCAACAGTACTCCGAAGCATGCCCCCAGAGGCCAAGATCCTTAATTGTTCAATGGTTTTTGATGGAGTTTTGCCTTCTCGCCTTCTCAGCTAGCCGACGCTCCAAGACGGCCAAAGACACCCACAAGACCGCCCTTGCCTTCTCGCCTTCTCGGCTAGCCGACGCTCCAAGACGGCCGAAGAGACCCACAAGACCGCCCCAGGACGGCCCAACAGGCCTCCAAGCGCGTCCCCAGACGGTCCAGGGAGCCCCAAGATGGCCCAAGAGGCACCCAAGCCGGCCCCAGAGGACCCCAAACCAGGACCCCCAGGAGGGACCCAAGCCGGAAAACGTGCATTTGTTATATGCTCGCTTTTTTCGTCTTCCCCGCGTCCAAGACGGCTATACAGGCCTTCCCGATCGCCCCAAGACGCCCCCAGAGCACCCCAGGAGGGCTCCCAAACGGCTATACAGGCCCTCCACCTCCCCCCAAGACGCGCCCAGAGGCCCCCAAAGGGCCCTACACGGCCACGACGGCCCAGGACGCACCCAAGACAGCCTCCAGCCAAGAATGGCCAACGGGACGGCTCCGAGAGGCTCCATGGGGCGCCAAGACGGCCTCAGAGCACCCTTGGGAGCCCCAAGGCAGCCCCAGAGGCCCCCAAGGCAGGCCAGGAGGCCCCCAAGACGGCCCGGGAGGGCCTCCAAGAGAGCCCTACAAGGCCCAAATCGTGCCACTCCCGACGGGAAACGCACATTTTCGCTATGTTATGTTTTGTTCGTCCTCGCAGCGTCCAAGACGGCTAGAGAGGCCCTCCACCTCGCCCCAAGACGCGCCCAGAGGCCCCCAAAGGGCCCGCCCCACACGGCCCCGGGACGACTCCAGAGGCGCCCGAGACGGCCCAAGACGCACCCAAGACAGCCCCAAGAGCAGTTAATAATGATGGCCCAAGACGGCTCCACCGCCCCGTCTCCAAGAAGGCTGTAGAGGCCCCCACCGCCCCGTCTCCAAGCTTTTCCGTTTGAACAGTTTCCAAGACGGTCTTTGGGCCGTCCGGGACGGCTCCAGAGGCGCCCGAGACGGCTCAAGAAACACCAAAGACAGCCCCAGCGGCGCCCAATATTGGCCCAAGATGGCCCCAAGATTGTTCCAAGACGGTCCGAGAGGCGCCCAAGACGGCCCCATATCGCCCCAAGACGGCCCAAGATGCACTCAAGACTGCCAAGGAGGGCTCCGAGAGATCCACCCCCAGGACGACGAAAAGAGGCCCCCAAGCGGCCCCCGATAGGCCTTGGATGCTTCTCTCTTGGGGAGCGTCGAACTTCCAGCATCGTTTTGGATGCTTCTTGGACCCTCTGGGAGCCATCTCTGCGCTATTTGGGGACGTCTTGGGGAGGTGCGATCGAAAAGTCGATTCGTGTCCTCGCAATGGGGCCCTTCTTAGGGAGTTCCGTCTCGCCGCCCTCGTGCGGGCCTCCTAGGCCGCGCCCACTGCTCCCACTGTCACCACACTGCCAGATGAAATTATCTTTCGGCCCCGGCGAGGAGCAGATAAACTTCTCACGGCTACCTTCCCCGCAGAAGCTATGATGAACACAGACTGCGGCGTCAGAAACAGCTTCTGTCCACACCATGTCATGCCTACATGGGTGTGCTTCCACTGACACCGCCTCCACCACCGCGTTCCTGCCTTCAGGCCTGCTTGCCTGCATCCCTCGCCCACCTTCCCCTCCAGCGGCCACCTCCATCCACGCTGTCCCCTCCAACCTCCCCTCACCCGCGAGGCCCCAGAGACGCTCCACTTCCACGTACACGCCAGGGCGGGCAAACTCCGCGGCCAGAGGCCGCGGGTCAGCCCTAGTCAGCTACAGCGCTGGGATCAGCGCGTGCGAGAAGGGCGAGCAGTGGCAGCGGGCTCTGGCGCTGCTGAGCGAGATGCGGGAGGCGAAGCTGGAGCCCAACGTCATCAGCTACAGCGCTGGGATCAGCGCGTGTGAGAAAGGCAGGCAATGGCAGCGGGCTCTGTCGCTGCTGAGCGAGATGTGGGAAGCGAAGCTGGTTCCCAACTTCACCAGCTGCAGCGCTGGGATTCTGGCTTGCGATAGATGCGGGCAGTGGCAACGGGCGATTTGGTTGCTCAAGGAGACGTGGGACGCAAATATTGGGTCCAATGTCGGTAGCTTCACTGACGCCATAATTATTGCGATACGCGGGTAAATGCAGTTCAAACTCAATTTTAGTCATGGGGTCAACGAGTGCGGGAAGGGCAACTAGCCGCAGCGTACTGTAGGGAAATTGGCGAAGTCGAAGATGTAGCCCCAAGTCATCAACGACAACGCTAGCACGAGCGCGAGCGAGAATGGTCGAAACTGGCAACGGGCTCTGTTGCTGATCAGCGAGGTAGGCATGCGAGGTTGGAGCCAACATCATCAGCTGCAAGTCTGGAACCGGAGCGTGCGAGAAGGCTGAGCGAGTTCACCACATCCAGGTCGTCCTCGGGAAGGTGCGTTCGAGAAACCTCGGCCTGGACCTCACCAGTGGCTGTGGACTTGCGACCAGGCTGCGCGAGCAGGGCAGGCGCCGGAAGCCGGCGTCCTGAGCGAGATGTGGGGGATTTGAAGTCCGCTACAGCGCCGCCAGCGCGTGCGAGAAGGGCGGGCACTGGCAGCATGGGCGCAGCCTGCTCGGCGCCATGCGTTTGAGAGCATTGGACGATTGCTTCAGTGTCTACGTGATAACAGCCTGTCGGCCGCAGCTTCAAGACGATTGCAGACAACGTGCGGAGACAGAAAAAGCAGCCAGTATAGGAGAGCAATGCGAGCAATGGAGACACGTGCTATCGTTGTTCGTGGAGGCGTGTGTGTGTGTGTCGTACTTACGGCGCAATGATGCAACACATGCCACACTGCTCGCCTAAGCGCGTTCGAGAAAGCTACACTTTCCCAGCTACGCTCGGACCAGCGCATGCGAGATGGGCGAGCAACGGCAGCGGGCCTGGGCGCTGCTGAGCGAGGTGTGGGAGACGAAGCTGGAACCCGAGCGTCATCTCTTCTGCAGTGCCCGGAGCGCCATGTGCAGGAACGGTGCAACTGATCAGGTGGACCCGACTCTGCCCGGTAGGACCTGGCGCACTCCCGAGCGCCCCTGGGGATTTTCAGAACGGCGCCAGAGGGCCCCGAAGAAGCTCCAACACGTTCCAAGGGAGGGCGCCAGACTGCGGAGGACGGCAGAGGAGGGGGAGGAGGAAGGTTGGGAGGGAGGGGGGGAGGGAGGGGGAGGGAGGGAGGGGGAGGAGGAGGGAGGGGGAGTGAGCGGGAGAAGGGAGGGAGGGAGAGGGAGGGGGATGAGGAGGAGGAGGAGGAGGAGGAGGGGGAGGAAGAGGCGGTGAAGGCGGCGAAGCAGGGTCAGACATACCAGGAGAATGATGAGAACGGGGAGTTGAAGGAGGGATAGCAGCAATGCAGGCGCGCGCCCCAACCGTAAGCATTTGGGCTCGAGAGCCGCCTCGAGAGGCGTGCGTCGCAGGCCTGACGCGATCGCTTTGGAGACGGAGGGAGCAAGAGGGAGCAGTCACTGGACAGTCTACGCTGGACTTCGGAGGGCAGAGCAGCGGCTTGCAACTAGGGGGATGCATGATTGTCAACCGACGGTGTGGCCGCCGCCGCTGCTGCGCTGCCCAGACTGCATCACGTAGATTGTACAACATAGGTTGCTAGAAACGTACGGTTTGGGGTCGGCGTGGGCTGACTTATGTTTCGATACATCGATACATTCATATAGAGATACAAACATACATACATACATACATACATACATACATACATACATACATACATACATACATACATACATACATACATACATACCTACTCACACATACATACACACATACACACACAGAGACAGACAGACAGACAGACAGACAGACAGACAGACAGACAGACAGACAGACAGACAGACAGCCAGACAGACATACTCACACGGATACACACAACTTGCCGCCCCGTCCACAAACATATGACGGAGTTCGTGCGTGCGTCTTTGCAAGCATTTCAAAAGCCCCAGTAGGTTTGGTGCAACCTTACTAAAGGATACTATGGGGGCCACATACGCCCGCATGTCGGAACCAGCCACCACTCATCGCGCACCACTCATTTTTGTCAAACCATACAGTGCATGTCACACGCGCGGGTCCCCGCGCGCGCACGCCAACATCATTGCAGCACGAATAGATTTCTCTAGTTAGTGTTTAGACGATTTGGGCACATCGGTGGTATCATTGGATGGCGCCGTGGCCACATAGAGCCATCTGAGGACAGGCTTGAAGCCGCTCGGAGGCATGCTAAAATTCATCGTGGAGTATCTTGCGCGATCTTGGAGGCCACCTTGAGCTCCCTGAGATCCGACGTGGCACACAAATCGCGACATTGCCAATAATCACGACCAGAGCCCCAGACCTCGTCTTTCTGCGTCATTTCTCGAGCCGCATCGATATGTGAGGGTCCTGGGGCCCGAAAGGGAGCGAAAACGCCCGTTATGAAAAAATAGCGACGCCAGGATCTCAGGGCGATGTATTCGAAGCCACATTAGACCATGTTGGACTTTCTACCCCCTCGGGTCCCCCCGACTAGGTTCAGACCAGGAGGAGGGGGGGAAGGAGAGGAGTAAAACCCGCCCCGAATGGAAGACGGGAGTTGGACGAGGAAACGACTTAAAACACCTACGCCCAGAGTGCTGGTTTGGTTTTCGGAGTATCTTTTCCCCCCCTCGCGTTCAGCTTCCCGCTCTGCTGTTTCATATTGTGCCGACGATGCGGACCTTGGCGCACGCGGGGGAGTCTGAGCTCCGAACGATTGTGACTCCTCCGCTTCACGCCATCAGGCAGCTAGGCAAGTCAAGGCAATGGACCGCGGCGCTCAGACTTTTGCGACGGGCACTGCATTCGCACGTGCGCACCTGCACCGGCTTGTACGGCGTGGCCATAAGCGCCTGCGGGAAGGGCAGCCAGTGGCAACAGGCATTGCTGTTGCTGGGAGAGCTTTGGGGAACCAAGCTGCAGCTCGACACCGCCAGCTATAACGCTGGAGTCGACGCTTGCGCGAAAGGCAGCCAGTGGCAGCGAGCACAATCCCTGCTGAGGCAATTCCCAGGCGTCGCGCTGGAACCGGACGCGATCAGTTACAACATCGCAATGAGCGCGTGCGAGAAAGGTGGGCAGTGGGAGCAGGCACTGTCGTTGTTGAAGGACTTGTCGACGGTGATGTTGAGGCCTGACGTTGTCAGCTTCTCCGCTGGGGTCAGCGCGTGCGAGAAGGGCGGGCAGTGGGAGCGGGCGCTGTGGCTGCTGAGGGAGGCGCGGGCCGCCGAGGTGCGGCCAGACGTCCTCCTGTGCAACTCCGGGATCAGCGCGTGCGCGAGAAGTGGCCAGTGGCAGCAGGCGTGCTGCTTGCTGAGAGACCTGTGGGAGGCGAGCCTGGAGCTGGACAGGATCAGCTACAACGCCACAATCAGCGCGTGCGACAGGGGTTTGCAGTGGGAGCGGGCGCTGATGTTGTTGGGGGAACTGCGGAGTGTGAAGCTGAGCCCGGACGTCATCAGTTTCAGCGGTGGGGTTAGCGCTTGCGAGAAAGGCGGGGAATGGGAGTGGGCGTTGTCGTTGCTCGGAGAACTGCGGGATGCCAAGCTAGAATTGGACATTGTCAGCTGCAACGCTGGGATCAGCGCGTGCGAGAAAGGTGGGCAGTGGCAGCAGGCGCTGTCACTGTTCGAGGTGGTGCGAGAGGAGAAGTTGGAGCTGGACGTCGTCAGTTATAGCGCTGGAATGAGCGCCTGTGGGAAAGGCTCTCAGTGGCAGCATGCGTTGTTGTTGCTGCGGGAACTGTCTGCGGTGAAGTTGGAACCAAACATCATCAGCTACGGCGCTGGAATCAGCGCCTGCGAGGAAGCATCGCAGTGGCAGCAGGCGGTGTCTCTGTTGCGCGAGCTGTGGAGGGTGAGGCTGAGGACGGACGTAACCAGCTACAGCGTTGGAATCAGCGCTTGCGGAAAAGCGAAGCACTGGCAGCAGGCAGTGTTGCTACTGAGGGAGCAGCTGGAGGATGTGCTGGAGCCGAACATCATCTGGCCCGCTCAGATTCTTTCGGTAACACATGGGAGCCGGGTATACTGTCGCAATTCCGTCTTTAGCGTCGATTGACGTCTGGGAGTCGACGAGCTAGCGCCGATTCAGCGTCGATGTCGATTTAGCGTCGATTAGCGTCGATTAGCGTCGAGTTGACGTCGACTAGCGTGGATTGGCGTCGATTCGCAAGAGCAGACAAGATGGTATGGGAGGCTCCCACGAGTTGCAATCGGAGATTCTGAATCCAAAAACGTTGACAGTGACATCCCCTGCCTGGCGGGGCGGGGCTTCCTTCCTCCGTCTTACGCCGCGGCGGCCCCGCCTCACTTCTACCATCTTTCCGTCGCCCTTTCCGTCTAGGGCGAGAGTCGGAGAAGAAAACATTGGTGATCGTTTTATCATCCCCGGTTTTGCCGATCGCCGCGGGCCCTCGCCCCCCCTCCCCATGGAGTAGATCTTGGCTGTTTGGGGCGCCTGCTTCAAGCAGGCGGAGCCTCCCCCGTAGGACGCACCGCTGCAAGCGGTCGCATGAAGCAGAGGTCCAGAGCCAGCCCCCCCCCCCTCCCCCCCCGGGTCCGCCCGATGTCGGAACGCCGACTGAGAAGACGCTCGCCTGCGACGACCTATCAACTTCCGGAGCTCCGCGCGGACTGCTTGGATCGGCACCCGGATGGCCCCAAGAGGCGCCCAGGAGGCCCCGAGAGGGCCCCGAGATGGCCCCATGTGGCCCCCAGAAGCCCCCCAGAGGCCCCCAGGATGCCCCCGAGAGGCTCCCAAGAGACCCCCAAGAGGCCTCCAAGAGGCCCCCCAGAGGCCCCCAAGACGCTCCAAGAAGCCTCGGCGAGAATGCCGAAATCACTGAGTTTACTAAAGTTTTGGCCACATTTGGGCCTCCTGGGGGGGCACTGCTTCAGATGACTCCAGGAGCGCCTGGGAGAGCTCAAGATGCCTCAAGATGGCTCCCACGATGCTCCAAGAGGCCCCAAGACGGCTCCAAGACGGCTCCAAGTGGCCAAAGAGCTCCCCCAGGAGACCCCGAAGATGCAGATCTTTCGCTCTGCGAGCGCTCCTTACCATCGCGAAGCCATCTGGGGGCCATATGGAACGCCCCTGCGCCCCTCCTGGTGCTCGCTTGGGGCCCTTCTGGCCTCTCGAGGCGCTCTGCCGGCCCTCCCGGATGCCTTTGGGCCATCTCGCATCCGTCTTCGGCCCCTCGGACCTGTCCTGGAAAGGCGGCACCACGAGAGCCCCAAGTTGGGGCTCTCGTGCCTGCCCTCAGACTTGGAAGAGCGGCCAAACGCTTGTCTCTTGAGAAGCGACGTAGTAGGATCAAACATTGACGACCGAGGCGCCGATGGCCCACTGACAAGACAATATGTGAATTGAAAACACCTTGGAACGCAACTCGGTGAATTCGAAGGCCGACAGACCCCGAAACAGCGTCCCCTGAAAAATCCGGAAAAATGCGGGGACGCTGCATTTACAGTTCCACGGACCATGCAGGGCACAAAGCGTCACCAGAAAAAGCAACACAAGAATGGCGAACCCCAACGAACGGCTCCCAGTCGATAGCCGCAGCACGTCGACCGATTCGAAGGCCGGCAACACAGGACGGCCCAACAGGCCTCCAGGCGCGTCCCCAGACGGCCCAGGGAGCCCCAAGATGGCCCAAGAGGCGCCCAAGCCAGCCCCAGAGGACCCCAAGCCAGGACCCCCAGGAGGGACCCAAGAGGCAAAAAATGCCCCATTCGCTTCGGAAAACGTGCATGTTTGATATGCTCGCTCTTTTCGTCTTCACCGCGTCCAAGACGGCTATACGGGCCTTCCCGATCGCCCCAAGACGCCCCCAGAGCACCCCAGGAGGGCCCCCAAACGGCTATACAGGCCCTCCACCTCGCCCCAAGACGCGCCCAGAGGCCCCCAAAGGGCTCCACGCGGCCCCGACGGCCCAGGACGCACCCAAGACTGCCCCAAGAGCAGCCAAGAATGGCCAACGGGACGGCTCCGAGAGGCTCCAGGGGGCGCCAAGACGGTCTCAGAGCACCCTTGGGAGCCCCACGACAGAGGCCCCCAAGGCAGGCCAGGAGGCTCCCAAGACGGCCCAGGCGTGCCTCCAGGAGAGCCCCAAGAGGCCCAAATCGTCCCATTCCCTCCGGGAAACGTGCATGTTCGCTATGTTTCGTTTTTCCGTCCTCGCAGCGCCCAAGACGGCAAAAGAGGCCCTCCACCTCGCCCCAAGACGCGCCTAGAGGACCCCCAAGGGCCCCACACGGCCCCGGGACGGCTCCAGAGGCGCCCGAGACGACCCAAAACACACCCAAGACAACCCCAAGAGCAGCCAAGAATGGCCAACGGGACGGCCCCGAGAGGCTCCAGGGGGCGCCAAGACGGCCTCAGAGCACCCTTGGGAGCCCCACGACAGCCCCGGAGGCCCCCAGGCAGGCCAGGCCAGGAGGCTCCCAAGACGGCCCAGGCGGGCCTCCAGGAGAGCCCCAAGAGGCCCAAATGAGGCCTTGGATGCTTCTCTCTTGGGGAACGTCGAACTTCCAGCATTGTTTTGGAGGCTTCTTGGACCCTCTGGGAGCAATCTTTGCGCTATTTGGGAACGTCTTGGGGAGGTGCGCTCGAAAAGTCGATTCGTGTCCTCACACTGGGGTCATTCTTAGGGAGTTCCGTCTCGCCGCCCTCTTGCGGGCCTCCTAGGCCGCGCCCACTGGCCCCATTGTCACCACGCTGCCAGATGAACTTATAATTCGGCCCCGGCGAAGAGCAGATAAATTTCTCACGGCTACCTTCCCCGCAGAAGCTATGATGAACACATACTGCGGCGTCAGAAACAGCTTCTGTCCACACCATGTCATGCCTACGTGGGTGTGCTTCCACTGACACCGCCTCCACCACCGCGTTCCTGCCTCCAGGCCTGCTTGCCTGCATCCCTCGCCCACCTTCCCCTCCACCGGCCACCTCCTCCATCCACGCCGTCCCCTCCAACCTCCCTTTACCCGCGAGGCCCCAGAGACGCTCCACTTCCACGTCCACGCCAGGGCGGGCAAATTCAGCGGCCGGAGGCCGCGGGTCAGCCCTAGTCTTTCCTACATGGCCAGTGGAAGCGCGTGCGAGAATGTTTCAGGGCCTCGTGTGCACAAAATCGCCCCTTTACAGCGCCACCACGGGGCCGAATCGCTCAGGCCGGTCCCAGAGGCGCTCCAGAGGGGTTCCTAGACCGTCCAAGAGCGCCCCAAGACGGCCTCAGTGGGTCCCAAGACGGCCCACGAGGGCCCGAAGCCTTCCGGGGGGGACTCCACGACGATCCAAGAGGCCGCAAAGACGCCCCAAGAGGGCCCCGAGCGCACGCCCAAGAGGCACAAATCTTCAAATTCCGAAGGGAAAACATATATTTTTAGCATGCCCGCCTTGTGTGCTCCTCAGCGGCCCAGGACACTTCAAGAGGCCTCCCAAATCGCCCCAAGAAGACGCCAGCGGCCCCTGAGACGGCTCCAAGACGGCCCACAAGAGCCCCAAGACGACGCCAGAGAGCCTTGAAACGGCCCCACAGAACCCCATGACGGCCCCAAGAGAGCTCCGAGGTAGCCCCAAGAGGCTCCAAAGACGGCCTCAGGCAGCCTCAACAGAGTTCCAAGACGGTCCAAGGCCTCCCAGACGCCCCGTGACGGACCAAAAACACCCCAAAACGTCCCAAAACGCCCCCAGAGCAGCCCCAAAAAACGTCATAATGGCCCGAAAAAGACCCCCACAAGGACCACCAAGCAGGCCCAGAGACGCCCACTAAAAGAGCGATCGGTGAAGTACAAAGTTCTGATAGACCGCGCTCGTGGGGCCCGACAGCACAGATTAGAAGGGGAGCCCCAGCTTGAAGCTACCCCCCTCCCCCCTTCCTTGCTAAAGGGGGGGGGGCTTCGGAAGCCCCCCCCCTCCCCCCCTTTTCGTGGTCCGGAAAAGGAGGGGGGGGCTTCCAAGCTACCCCCCCTTCCCTCCCTTTAATTGAGCCGGGGTGAGCCACCACCCCCTTTGAAGGGGGGGGGGGCTTCGGAAGCTACCCCCCCCCCTTTTTTCTGGCCGGAAAAGGGTGTGGGGGCTTCTAAGCTACCCCCCCCTCCCTCCTTCCTTTTAATGGAGCTGGGGTGAGCCACCCCCCCCCTTTGAAAGGGAGGGGGGGGGGCTTTGGAAGCCCCCCCCCTCCCTCCCTTGGTGCACAAGGGGGGGGTTTGAAGCCCCCCCCCCTTCCCCCCTTTGGCCGCCCAGCTCCCGGAGCCATCGGCCTCCATTTCGCCTCCATTTATTCCCGCCCCTCTCCCTCCTCCTCTTTTTCCTTTTGCCTCCTCCTCCTCTTCCTAGCCCATTTCAGAATCTGGAGACTCACCAAAGGGCCCACCCCACACACTCTCAGATAATGTACATCCCACTGCAGTTCTGATGCGAGCGAGAGGGCTGGGCACCGCCATGGTCTCGTGGTGTCTCGCCTACGCGGCTATGCACAGCACTTTCATCGGTTACAATCCGTGCTTGCTGATAAAAACACGACGATTGGCAGCTATTTCGACGTCGATGAGAAGCGCATCAATCATCGCTTTGACGGGGACACGTATGCGGGAGAGTTCCACTTCTGCGTCCTGGTCTTGTACCCAGGACACGCACCATTTCATTCATTCAGTGGGGATCAAAGGACCTTTCACTTATCGCAGCGCTGGAGTATCTTTTGGTATACACAAACGTCACGTTCGTCTCGGAATAGTATGTCAAACATCTGCTCCACCGGCGGCTATTTTCGGACGGGGGGAACGTGTCGATTTAGTACTTCTGGCGTTGATGTCGCGAATGTTGCCCTCTATTTTCCCCCCTCTACTGTTGGAGGGCGTATGGTGTTCGGAAGAAGACTGTGGATATGCCACCGGCTTGGCTGCATGTTGAACTTGCTTTGTCACCACATCGGTTCACCCTACTATTGTATACGGATCTCAACGATTTCTTTAATGCTGATAAC